TGCATCTCTTCGATTAAGTTTTGCATCTCTCCAATTAAGGTTTTGCATCTTTTCGATTAAGTTTTGCATCTCTTCGATTAAGTGTTGTATCTCTTTGAGTAAGTTTTGCATCTCTCCGATTAAGGTTTTGCATCTTTTCGATTAAGTTTTGCATCTCTTCGATTAAGTTTCGCTCATCTTCGATTAAGCTTTGCATCTTTTCGATTAAGTTTTGCATATTTTCGATTAAGTTGTGCATCTTTTCGATTAAGTTTTGCATCTCTCCGATTAAGGTTTTGCATATCTTCGATTAAGTTTCGCTCATCTTCGATTAAGCTTTACATCTTTTCGATTAAGTTTTGCGTCTTTTTGATTAAGTTTTGCATCTTTTCGATTAAGTTTTGCATCTCTTCGATTAAGTTGTGCATCTTTTCGATTAAGTTTTGCATATTTTCGATTAAGATTTTGCATCTCTTCGATTAAGTTTCGATCATCTTCGATTAAGCTTTACATCTTTTCGATTAAGTTTTGCATCTCTTCGATTAAGTTTTGCATCTTTTCGATTGAGTTTTGAATCTCTTCGATTAAGGTTTGCATCTCTTTGATTAATTTTTGCATCTCTTCGACTAAGTTTTGCATCACTTTGATTAAGTTTTGCATCTTTTAATCAAATGTAGTATCACATTACTCAATCCTGGTATTCTAAGTTGAATTCTAGTAAAACATTTGACCTTAAAAGTTTACATCCCCAGCATCAAACAAAGTACTTGAAAATGCTTCAATTTTCCTCTATCCCCTCAAAAAAATTTCGCTTTTCATTTTCTTCTTTTTTTTATCGATTATTTATCGTCATGTTATTTTATTATCAACGAAAGGAAGATACTGAGATATTGGGAAGCCTCACATCAATATGAAAGAAAATGTATGTCTATATATGCAGGAGCAACAACAATAATAACAAATAAACGACATAGATAGATACGAAATAGGAGGAAATGATTTAAGATCGATATTGTCGTATGAGGCGAATGAATAAGACATTTGGGAGAGGAGCAAGGCACAAAAAAGTTCATTGGGGAGCAATAATGATAAAAATCAAAATCAGCCCGATTTCATCCACAAATTGTATAAATTTTCTTTTTTCGATTTTTATACACACAAAAAAAACGATATTGAAGTGTTTTTTCAACTGAAAGAACCTTTTATTCACTAACAATACACGAGGATAACAAGATATTCTCTCTTCTCATCATTTTTTTGAGTTCCATTTTTTGATAACGAATGGGAAGTTTGGAGTGATTGCTTTGTCTTACGGCTATTGTATTGGTTTTGAATGGCTGTTCATGTATGAATTGGGTCTGATTCGATAAAAAAAGGCCTAATTGCGCACTTATGGTTCACAAAATGATGATCGGAAAGATTTAATTAGTATATTAATGAGGATGAGGAGGAGGTCCGGTCTCTGTAAGTTTATAATTGTTAAGAATTCAGCTCAATAATTCACATTTGCTGATTAATTTTCGTCTTTTAAGTCCTTATTTATTTTTTATTTCATGTGTTAGGTTTTATTACGGCTGGTGATGACAAAATTGACTGTACTTACTTACTTATTTACTTCCTTGGCTGGACGAACGTTGGCCCATTGGCATGCTTAGAGAACGTCTTAAGACAGCTCTATCCTTTGAAACCTTCTGCCAGTTTGGGATATTACGAAACTCTAGCGTCCTTTTCAGCACAACCTATCCAGAAGTTCTTCTGTCTTCCTATTGCTCTCTTTCGACCAACAAAGTCTGCTCCTATTACTGTTAGTACCGCCATCCTGTGAGAGTCCGGGAGAAAAAAAGGGGTCAATTAGAGTAAAAAGATTTTTCTGTTCAATAATCTTGAATAATGCAACTTTACACACAACTTAGTCACCAGCTCATCAATAAAATCTAGTTCCTAGAATAAAAAAACTTCCTCTCAAACCCAAAATGAATCTAAATGTCAAATAATTTTGAACCCAGTCAAATGCGCTGTTCGTTCCGATTCAATCAACAATGCATCCACAACTTTATCTCCTCATTCAACTTTTATTGTTGTTCTGAGCACTTTTTCTTCTACTTTTCATTTTATTTTAAGGCCCACTAGACTCAATAACAATAGCAAATCATTTCCTTTCATTCTGTCATATTCACTTTGCGACACTATTAAATGAAATAATAATGAATATGATTCCTTTTTGTATATTTGTGGATTAAAAACAATATTCACGTGATATTGAATTACAGAAAATAAGGCAACGCTATAAGTGCATAGTTAACAATGGGGAGCATGTTGCATAATATTTGTTGAATGTGGCTGACAGCAGATCCAGAGTAATGGGATTGTGGACGAATTAAAAGCTTTTGTAGATCTGAATAGGGACGCTCCCTGTTTAATATCATTTTAATAAAGTCATTTTATCTCATTTTGTTTATGTAAACAGGGAAACTTTTTCATTTTCTTTTCGTGTCACTTCCTTTTTATTTTACCGCCGACAGAAAATTTGAATAGGATTTTCATATTTATTTTTGAAAGTGAAATGAAGATTATAATTTATGGCATTTTTTGTCTTAATTTCATGTCATTTTGTTAACTTACTTTGATGGCCGTACAGGTCAATTGTGATCCATGGCCTCTCTTAGATGTCGCATAAAGCTGGCTTTATTGCTAGCTCATCTTGTTAAGCTTCATTTCAACTTTACTCGATTTTGTAACTTTTTGAACTATCCTGGATAGCACATGTCGGTTAAAATCGGATTTATATCGAGTCCATCTTCATGCCAGGGCCATGCTGGCTTAGCGTCAGATTTATGATCGATTAACAGAGTTGTGCTACGGGGTATGATACAAAATCCCTCCCAAAAAGCTTGAAAAACTGGAAGTTTAAAAAAATCTTTAAAAACCATTTATTTATTTAAATTTATTGAATTGTCCATGACTTCATTCTGAGAAGGACTTCCTTTAGGATAAAAAAGTTCTATGTAAATAGAAATGTTCACAATATTCACTCCATTTTGCGCATTGATTGTAAAATGAATGAAACAATTCGAGGTAAAAAAGTATCTGTTTTTAGATATAAATTGAGAGCATCTATTGAATTACATTGTATAGACATACAGCTGCAGGGATGATTATGTAAAATGAAATGAATATTTCTGATTTGAACACAATTTTCTGCGAATATGCTGGACATACAGTAGCGTGCAGAATATTATGGACGATCAAAAAAATTTCGTTTTTATTCTCAAAAGCATACTTAACGTTGTCCAATTTAGATGAAATTTTCACCACTTATACTGTTTTTCATGTGCTTTCACATGATAAAATATAAATATGCTATAGTTAATAATTTTTGAAAAAACCGTTAAAATTCAAAATCAGGTGCGTGCAAAATATTATGGACGATTCTTTTTTGGTAATTTTTTTTATGTTTAAGCTATTTAAGCTTACTTTTTAAACTTTAAACATGAAGTTCAAACATTTTACTCCAATTTTATACATTCTTAATGGATGTGTAGCAAGTTTAAGGCATAAAAAAATCATGATGAAAAATTATGCAAATATTTTACTATTTTTGTTACTTTTCATCAATATCAAGCATTAATATCGGTTATTTTGGACTGTAATGTATTGAATTCTTAACTATCTTTCTATTGATATATAATTTGTCTGTATTAATATAGTCTAAATGAAAAAAATTACGAAAAAAAGTTCATTGAAGAGGGAAAAATTTCATCAACAAAAATATAAATTGATTAAAATTTCTTAAATATCCATGAAATATTACCCAATTTAGTCTTATTTTCTCACATATATGTTGTAGATTAGTAATTAGGTAGAATTACATTTTAATATTGCACGATAAGATATATTTTTATGAGCCAATACTATGAAAAAAGTCATGTTGAAACTTGAAAAATATTTCATAATATTTTTTACATTTTATGCAGTATAAATTTATGTAAATCAATTAAAAACAACTCAAAATACTCTTTGCCAACTATTTAAGCCAAAAACAAGAGAGAAAAATGCATATTTAAAAGTTTAATGACAAATATTTTTTTCGTCTTTAAAATTTTCTTTTGGTCATACAGAAGGCTCTCTTTTTATGACTTTATTACTCAAAATATAAATTTATAACTGCTCAATTACTAATCTACAACATAAATGTGAGAAAATAAGACTAAATTGGGTAATATTTCATGGATATTTAAGAAATTTTAATCAATTTATATTTTTGTTGATGAAATTTTTCCCTCTTCAATGAACTTTTTTCGTAATTTTTTTCATTTAGACTATATTAATACAGACAAATTATATATCAATAGAAAGATAGTTAAGAATTCAATACATTACAGTCCAAAATAACCGATATTAATGCTTGATATTGATGAAAAGTAACAAAAATAGTAAAATATTTGCATAATTTTTCATCATGATTTTTTTATGCCTTAAACTTGCTACACATCCATTAAGAATGTATAAAATTGGAGTAAAATGTTTGAACTTCATGTTTAAAGTTTAAAAAGTAAGCTTAAATAGCTTAAACATAAAAAAAATTACCAAAAAAGAATCGTCCATAATATTTTGCACGCACCTGATTTTGAATTTTAACGGTTTTTTCAAAAATTATTAACTATAGCATATTTATATTTTATCATGTGAAAGCACATGAAAAACAGTATAAGTGGTGAAAATTTCATCTAAATTGGACAACGTTAAGTATGCTTTTGAGAATAAAAACGAAATTTTTTTGACCGTCCATAATATTCTGCACGCTACTGTAATTAAATGACTTCGGTATCGAGTTATGTTCATTGCTGTCCATTGCTTACAATCGTATGGATATTTTTAAACTAATCGAGCAAATTCTGATGAATTTTGATGTTCAAATTAAACTAGGTCATTAGCAATTCAGACAAATTTCAATCAAATTAACACCAATTTTAACCAATTTTATACTTAAAACTCATAAATTTCCCACATTTATTTTTCAGATAACGATCTTTACACCGGTACCGATGCCGACTTTAGTGGCAACGACCCAATTATTTATCGAGAGCCGCTTCAAACCGACCAGTTTGACAGTCTCAGTTTAAATGGTAAGTAAACGCAGTCTGGCCTTATTACAACCACCTGACTGACATTTAATCATAAAAAATATTCTTTTTTGCCCACTGTTCCTAATTGATAATCATCTTTCATTTCTATTTCTTTTTCAGCACCCAATTTCGTGGGATCATTTACATTCGGCGATTTTGTTTATTTCTTCTTCCGTGAAACAGCTGTTGAGTTCATCAACTGTGGCAAGGTATGATGATAATGATGATGAGAGGCTTTAATGTTATTGCTTTATATATTTTACTTGGGGTTGCGGCATGAAGTTTTTCGGGGAGAATGTGCCCTTGTGGATGAATTTGTGTGAATTCATTTTTGTAATGCTTTCAAGTTTTGAGGTTAGGAGTTGATAATCTTGGATAAAGCTTTGCTGTCAGCTTTTTGTTTGTCTGGAATAAACATAGTCAGAATCAAATAGATTCTAGTCTCAAACATTCAGCTAAGGCACAATTAGCCTTGATTTTTCCAATTATCCCCGAATTGCCCAAGTTGGTTAATCGATCAAATATCGTATACAAGCTGGCATGACATTGGGATGCTTCTGGCTTTGATTTAAATTCAGCCAGAGTCACCCAGGCTTAGTGCCAGATTTTTGATAGATTAACCGACCCGAATAGAACAAGTCTGTTAATCGATTAGAAATCTGGCGTGAATATTGCATGATGCTGGACGTAAATCGAAGCTAGCACCATGTCAAAGTCATGATGGCTTGGTGGAGGGTTTCTATTCGATTAACCGTATTGTGCTATTCGGGATCTTTGAGATTCTGACTTCAAAACAATGATTTGACCAGTTTAGTAAGCATTTAGTTTCATAGTGAAAAGATTCTCCACAAGGAACATTTTCTACATCTACAACTCACTTCGAAAACCACATTGCCTATCTATTCCATCTATTTAAATGAAATTTAATTAAATTACAATGGTCTATCCTCAAATGAGATCATAATAACGTTATTTATGGTAATTATTTCTTATTTATGACATTTTCTTCATCTTATCTTTCAAACAGGTTGTATATAGTCGTATTGCACGTGTATGTAAATGGGATAAGGGTGGTCCACATCGCTTCCGTAATCGTTGGACGACATTCCTTAAATCACGCCTCAATTGCTCCATTCCTGGAGACTTTCCATTCTATTTTAATGAGATTCGTAAGTTTTTTTGCTTCTCTTTTTTAATTAAATTAGATTTTATTTTGATTTATTCGTCAAACTTGTTTTGGAGTTGAACAAAAAATTCTTTTTAATTAGAATGAGTTTTATCAATTGAAAATCTTTAAATTGAAAACTTTTTTAAATTGGAAAATTTAAATTAATTTGTTTTTCTATTGAAAATTGAACAAAAAGTGAAAAACTTTATTTTTCTCGAATTGATTAATTGGAAATAAAATTAAATTTGAAAAATGACCAAGACTAGTGAAAAGATAAATAAAAGACGAAAATTTGAGTCGATAATTTTAAAATATTTTCAAAAAAATCTTTAAATTAAATTTTAATTCATTAAATTCACCAGCATCGAATCCGAAACTTAATGTAAATTCCAATTCAATCTTTTGTCATTCAACATTGATTAATCTTTTCATTCCAACAAGCACTTGACATTTATTTCAACGACTTTAATTGAATTTGTTTAAAAAAAATTTAATTTTATTTCAACTTTTTCAATTTCACAGAGTCCAATAGTGATCTCGTCGAAGGCACTTACGGCAACACAAATGCTCGATTAATCTACGGTGTCTTTACAACATCACATAATGCGATTGCTGGTTCCGCCATCTGTGCATTTTCACTGCAGGTAAGATAAATCAAACAAAAGGAGAAATAAACGTCTTAAAGATAAGCACCGACTTGTGTTTGTGATGAAAATAGAAAGGAATTTCCTTTTTGTATTATCGACTCATTGATGTTTAAGTGAATAGAAAAAAAAAATTGAATGGTGCTCAGTTTCTTTTTAAAATGCACAAAAAAAGAGAGTCTTTGCTAAGATGAAGTTTTTCTATTCAAAAATTCCATTTATTCTGCTCGTCATTTTCCAATGAATATAAAAGATACACACAAATGCAAAGTTAGGAAGTCGTTGAAGACGAAAAAAGAATTGGTTTAAAATTTTTTGTAATTTGAAGTGTCAATAATTTTGGATGGGATCGTCTTGGTGATTTGGGTTGGAAGTTTTGATCTGGTTTTTTCGTGGAACTAGTCACCATTTCCATTAAGTTTCTTTTCTTTTTTAAAACTTGCATGAAATGATGATATACTCATGGAAATAATTGTATGGTTTTGGGGAAAATCAAATATTTGATTTTTCCGATTTGTATGAAATTTCAAATATTCGATATTTGATTTTCCTAAACCATACAATTTTAATATTTTTTCTATGAGTGTAGTTCATCAGAAACTAGCAGAAATTCGCCGAATCACATCAACTTCTAGTTTGGGGTTCTTGAAAAAATCCATTAACACTAAAGGATGCACTAGCTACATTACTAGTGCACTAGCTACATTACAACACTAGCTACAGTACAGTAGTAGCTACATTTGAGTACCAGATTGATTACAATATTAGCTACAGTACTAGTGCACTAGCTACATTACAGTACTAGTGCACTAGCTTGATTACAGTACTAGCAACACTACTAGTGCACTAGCTTCACTAAAGTACTAGCTTCAGTTCTAGTCCACAAGCTACAGTACTAGTGCACTAGCTTCACTACACTACTAGCTTCAGTTCTAGTCCACAAGCTACAGTACTAGTGCACTAGCTGCATTTCAATACTAGCTACAGTACAAGTGCACTAGCTACATTACAGTACTAGTGCACTAGCTTGATTATAGTACTAGTGCACTAGCTACACTACAGGACTAGCAACACTACTAGTGCACTAGCTTCACTAAAGTACTAGCTTCAGTTCTAGTCCACAAGCTACAGTACTAGTGCACTAGCTACATTTTAATACTAGCTACATTACAGTACTAGTGCACCAGCTACACTACAGTACTAGCAACACTACTAGTGCACTAGCTTTACTACAGTACTAGCTTCAGTTCTAGTCCACAAGCTACAGTACTAGTGCACTTGCTGCATTTCAATACTAGCTACAGTACACGTGCACTAGCTACATTACAGTACTAGTGCACTAGCTTGACTACAGTACTAGTGCACTAGCTTGACTACAGTACTAGTGCACTAGCTTTACTACAGTACTAGTGCACTAGCTTGACTACAGTACTAGTGCACTAGCTTTACTACAGTACTAGTGCACTAGCTTTACTACAGTACTAGCTTGACTACAGTACTAGTGCACTAGCTACACTAAAGTACTAGCTTCAGCACTAGTGCGCAAGCTACAGAAACCATTTGGAATGATATTTAGATTCTAACCCTTAATGTATTCTGTCTTTGTATCTGAGCATCCTGAAAAGTCTATGAATGAGTCAGCGAGCTCCAACAACAATAATCTTAACTGATTCAAATCAAAAACCACATCCACAAACTACAAAGACAAAATACCAGCCAAAACCAAAACAATTTGCTCAAAAAAGCTGAAAAATAAATATATAAAAATTTTGATAGACGATCTAAGACGGCTTCCCATTCTTCTCTGTTAAAGCTTTCTCGACTCATTCTCAATTCTCCATTTTTCATAAAGCTGTCTTCATCTCAAAAGCCCTTATGATGCTGATGCTTTATAATATCATAAGAAAAGCATAAAAAGGAATTGAAAACGCAAACACTTTTTATTTGTGTCATTGAGCATTTGCAGAGTATATAACAAGTATTAAACTAACTCCGTTCCGAATTTTCACATAAAGAAATGGAAAACTTCCCTTTTTCTCATTGTTTATTGTTATTGTTTTCAAACATTTACAAATTTTTTCTTTCTATTTCCATTTCTATTTGAATTTTCCTCTTGTGCTTGCATCCCTAATTTTGGAATACGATATGATAAACAAATTTTCTCTCTCTCTTTTGTAGGAAATTTCTGATACATTTGAGGGCAATTTTAAGGAACAGTCTAGTGCACATTCTACATGGAAACCAGTGGATAAGTCAAAGGTAAGGAAAGAAGTTATTAGTATTATTAAAAAAAAATTCTATTCCCTTTTCGTTTTATACCTCTTTCGTATAACTATCTACGTGATGTTACCTTAAAAAAGTTTTTTTATATTTTGGTACTTTTGTGGAGATTGCAGAATATTTTTTTCTAAGGTATAAAGTGATTGTCAAGCTGAGAAATGACGGCAGTTCTTAAAAGAATTGTCGAATATTTTATAAATATATTTATTGATAGAAACTGCATTGGCAGGATGTTTATTACTCGATAATTTACTGAGCTGTGTATTTTATCAGCTACCTGGAATGTTATCATTGGAAGTGTATTCGTTGGTTGTCTGGACTAGCACATTCCCAAATAGCACAAGTCGGTAAATAGATCAGAAATAAAGCTGGTGTGACTCTGGATTTAAATCGGATCCGGCACCATTTTAAAGTCACTTCGGCTTTGTGCAGGATTTCTAAACGATTAACCGACTTGTGCCATTCAGAAGTGTGGGAGACATGTCACTGCTACATTATTGGAAGCCCTGATGGTGGCATAAAGGCTTATTTTAAATGAAACAATGGTTTTGAATGTTAATTTTGCCTCTCATGGCTGCCATATGACTCATGGCAAAGTTATGTCATTATTGCCTTAATGTTGCGACAAGTCATAAACGTGCAGACATGTTAACGGCAAAATTCAACCAAACATAACTATTAAGTCGCCACCATGGCTACATATTCCCCAATTTTTCATCTATTTGTCTGTCCTACTTCCAAATTTTCCATAATATAAAATGTCCGACTGCGCACTTTTGATCGGGGCATTCCCGCTTTTTTGAACAATGTCCCGCCTAAAATCCTTAATGCCTTGCTTTTTTGAACCTATTTTTCTTGGAAAATACTTCAAAATTTGGTTTGTCCCGCTTTTTCAGAGCAGAAATCGGGACAAGTCCCTGCAAAAATGGATAGATCAAAGATATTAACTTTCTGTACTCAACAGATGAAGTTATCATCCAATATCGTGCTAACTTCACACAAACCCCTTTGAAAAAATTTCAAGAAGGTCAGAATAGAACATTCTCAATTCCTTAATATGAAATTTCCTCTATGCATTGTTATTTGTAAGAAGTAGAAAATGTATCTCTTGTTTCAATTAATTCCAGCCTTCAATATTGAGAGGGGAAAGCTCACGGGAGGGATTTTCTTAAAATAGGAAAAAAAACTTTAGATTTCATTATGTTTTTTTGGTAACTTGTTCATGCTTCCTTTTTCATGCTTGTTTTTCATATGACAACAACGATTGCCATTCATGAACAAATAACAGCCTCCATTGTAATGTCTTCTGGGCAAATGAGACTCAGTTGCGTAAATGGAAAGAAATTTTGCCTCCCATCACATATCGACCTTTAATTTTTTTTGTTGCTTTTCTTGGGGTGAGCATGAACGAAAAAATTGAGAAAGAAAAACTTTTTTTTTTTTTGCTAAAAGAGATTGAAAAAATGCGATAGACAAGTGAAATGTGAAAAGAGAAACTTTTCTTGCTGTTTTTTTTTTTTATTTATATTTATTTGACAACTAGTATTAAGTTCCCTCTTAGAAATGTGTAGTGTGACAGAAAGATAAGGAGATGGAACGATGAGGATAGGCTTATTTTTATTTATAACACATGAACTGTGTAGATGTTTTGAGAATAGATGACTATGCTGGAACTTTGTTGGGTGTTTCTTTTTTTTGATAGTTTTTTCGGGGTTCAGATGTGAATGAACTTTTGGAATTTATTAGTTTTTTGTTTTCTAAAGCAAAGTTTAATGCTGTACAGAGTAAAATTGTTTTTAATTCATAACTAAAAGCGTCGCTTTTAATTTTTTTGAAAAAAATTCATTGCTTTATATTTAAATGGCAAAGTAAAGCTTTGATTTGAATTTGAACGGCAAAATAAAGCAATGCTTCAAATTTAACAGACGATAAAGCGTTGATTTTAAATTTGAACAGAAAGAATAAAGCGTTGCTCTAAATGTAAATGGAAAATGAATCGCCACTTTAAAATTGAACGGAAAAAATAAAGCGTTATTTTAAATCAGGACGATAAATAAAACGTAGCTTTAAATATGACAAAAAATGAAGCGTTGCTTTAAAATTGAACAGAAAAAGAAAATCATTGCTTCAAATTCAAGAAGATAAACTCAAAACTCACTTTAATTCACTCCCACAAAGTCCATCCGGATTATTTAAATTCTAAAACACCAAATAACACAAAGCTAGTCATAATATCAGCTAAATTTAGACAGTATGAATACAAAACTACCACAAATTCCATCAAAAATTTAACCACAAAAGGATAGAAACAAAATTATATTAAAATGAAAAAGAGAATTTCATAAAATATTAAATATATTTTTCTGCTCATTCCGCATCGACAGCGAAAATCAACTGTGCTCGGTTATTCACATAAAATGTATGAACTATATTAATAGTATAAGTTCAAAAGCATACTTTTGCTATCAGCACAAAGCTTATTTAATTTTTAAAACATTTATTCCTGCGCTTCTTCATTTCCTATGTATTTTATATGCACCATAGCACCACCAACAACAATCAGCTTATAAAAAAATTGTGCTGAAACAAAGAGAATAGTTTTTGATTATTCCACCCACATTATTCTTTTCAAACCTCCTCTCCCGCTTGCTCTATCTGCATCAGCTTTGCAACCACTGAAGCCATAGAGATGAGCACAAAAAAATGTTATTTAAACATTTTTTTTCTTTTGCCATTTGTGGGTTGCGTTTATAAATTACGGACGAATGGTTTGCTATTATTTTTCTTTTGTACCTGATTCTGAGATTTTTTTCTTTTTTAATGAAAGACTTCCATCATTTCAACGTGAAGTTAATGATTTGGGTTTTGTGAAGGATTTTAATTTTATGAAATTATTTAAAAATTTAAACCATTTTTATGGAAGGAGTGCAACCAGAAACTTTAGGAGGTAGGGGGAGGGGGGTCAATTGCTAGAGGATGTTCTCAAAAACTCTTAGCGAATTCAAGACATTTTACCAAGGAAGGTTGTATGGTTTTTTAAACATTCAAAGCATTTTTTTAAAATTGCAACTTTAATATAAAAATTCTTAAAATTTCAAAAATCAAATAATTCGAACCTATTAATTGAAAATTCAAACAAAAAACATCTAATAAAAATGCACATTAACTTGGCATTAAAAAACCCTTAAAACCAAAAATCTGAATGTCAAGGTACTCCAATACTGACATTTATTTGTAATTATCAGATACCGATTCCTAAATAAACATACCAAAATCAACAATCTCGAATTTGCTCTAAAAACAATTCGTCAATTTCAATATCAGCACAATTTTCTTTAATAAAATAATGAGAAAAGGTAAATTAATATTTAAAGACTCATGGAAGTATTGCCTGAATAATTTAATTTGCTCATCGTTTTTATTTTTTTTTTTGCAAAATGAGTCGTAAAACAAAACAAATCCTTGAAACATTAATTAATGAGTTCATTTAAATTGTTGCTTTTTGGAAGAAAAAAAAGTTCTGATTTTGCAGAATAAAATAATTATTTTATTTGATCTAGAAACATCTGTTGGGGGCTGCAAGATATTAAACCAATTAGACAAAATTCTTAAAAAAATGCAACAATTTTTTCCAACAAAATATTTATATTCAAAATATTAAATCGCCTGAAAATTTGCTAGATTACCAAAAATATAACTCCAAGAAATATTTACAAATTGCTGCAAGTTTGTTCCAAGAACTCAATACTGAGTAGCAACATAATTGACTTTTCTTTTCGGAAAATAAAACTTTTCCAATTAAATGCTCTGTTAGTAACAAGTGAACAACCTTGTTTGTCAGAAATGCACAAATAATATTGAAAAATTTACTTCGGAGACCTTGGGGTTACCGGGGTGGAGGGGACTGTTTGAAAAAAAAATTAAGTTTTAAACGCGTCCTTCGACTTAAACTCCAAAATTTAAAATTCAAGATTAAAACGAAATTTTTTTAATGGCCGTTTACTTATGTTATGCCGTTCATTTATGACGTCCAGGGCAGGGGCGTAGCCAGGGGGGGGCCATAGGGGGCCCGGGCCCCCCCTACGAAAATCTGATAATTGCTTTATTAAGTATTTATAGAGAAGAACCAGTTAATGTAGAGGAAGTGATGAAAGAAATGTCAAAATCAGCACGAAAAATTAAATTTAATGTATGAATAATGAATTAAATATTTAAACTTATGAAGAATGAATATAGATTTAAGGATACAAAATAACGGTTTTTTAATTTTCAAAAATGGGCCCCCCCTTGAAAAATTTTCTGGCTACGCCCCTGGTCCAGGGGGGGGGGGGGTCAGCAAGAAAAGAACAATAGAAATTCCTGGAAATCCATTGTTCTCTTTTGAAATATGACAGTTAATTTTGGACGTCGTAAGAGAACGACCCCTTATTACATAACGCGTAAAAACGACCTTTAATACACCCCCCTCCCCCCAATTTCTGAACGTACTAATTACGTGTTTTCAAATGAATTGGAAAAGTCATTAATTGTAGTACAAAAACACTGATTCAAGAATTTTGACCAACCGGGAGGCCAATAACTCGATGGAACTGAGCTATTAAAACAAACTCGAGCTCTCTATGATTTCTGGTTGATGAGATCTCAGATATCAATTTTTGCCTTTGCCGAACGAATGAACAAAGTGAATTATTAAGCTACCTTTTAGAAACAAGTTTCAAAAATGCGCTAAAAATGTTTAACAATTTATGTGTACACTTGAACAATCCTACTAGTTCCAATCTTGAAATTCTGCACAAAAAAAATTTTAAATATTCAAATGCAAAAAAGTTGCAGACACCGGCATAATGATGATTATTTCTAGCTACAATGAGAAGAATGGAAAGTAAACGCTCATAAACTATGACTATAGAAAATTATGTTAATTGTTTTGTGTAGATTTTGTCAGAATTATTTACAGTTTTAAAATTTCATTCTACACGTTGCAGAATTTAATTCAAATTTAAAATTTTCTCAACTTTGAAATTTTCAAAAAAAATAACCTCAAAAATTCCCATAAGGATAATCATACGATTTTAAAACACATCAGCATCTTTCTAAACTTTGTGCCGCAAAGTCTAGGCTGTTGAACTCATGCATACTATGTAGTTCCTATTCAACTGTATTTTCCTTCCTACCATTCTTCCCCTCATGTCTGTTCTCATTCTTTTCTCAAGCATAAAAGATAGCAGAACAGCATAGAAAAAAATAAAAGTTTCATGATGATTTTCACGTACATTATTTTCAATTTTTATCTTCTATGAAAATAGAAAAATTTAAGGAAATTATGCGAAAGAGCTTTTCTTTCTCCTTCAAACATGAAAAGTATCATGAAAGTATAAGCAGGTCTACTATTAGCATCATCAATATCATTATCTCATTCTTCTGCAATGTGTGTATGGAGATACTTTATACTTCCGCTCATTTCATGGCTTCTCTTTGCAATATGAGGCACTGAATTAAATTAAGTTTGTGGCAGGGTATGGTAACTTTATGGTTTTTAAAAAAAATTTGAGGTTAGAATTTTTTCAATAAATTTCAGGGTGCAATTTTAGAGTTCCACTTATATTTTAATAAAAACCCTTTAATCCAATCCCTTCAGTCAAACAAATAATAAGAAAAAAACTCATTGAGTAGCACACAATGGCAGGCAAGTGTATCAGAATTAATGTCGCCATGGTTGAGTGTTCATGAGCGACTGGACTTTCCTTCTATGTGAGCTTTTCATTAAAAAAAGCAGAGAGAATAAAGGAAAAAAGTTTCTTATTTTTTGTGGGGGTTTATATGCACACTCAAATATAAATGGCTTTTAATAACTTAGATAAACATTTGCTTTTCAAAGAAACCAGACGTACAGTTGATATTTTTAAATTGTTCATGAATAACAATAGGATATATGAAATTTCAGGAATGCTTTTGAATTAGGAGGAGGTTATGGTGTCTGGTGGTTAAATTAAAGGGGGTTTTAGAGAGGATTGCCAGAATTTTTTTAAAAAATAGAGGACCTGCAAGTAAAATAGAGGACATTTTACGCGTTTCCCAATTCAATTCGTTTTCTAAACGAATTAAAAATGTTCAGCCTAGTTTAAGGTCAGCATTTGACTGGCTTCATTAAACTATAGCTGAGAAAGCTTGATTAAGTTTAATCTTGTAGTTTGAAGAAATTTCTCATGATACTTTAATTTTCAAAAACAATGACCTAAACCAGTGTTGTTTAAACTATGTGCCGTAGAACACTGTTTTTCAGAAATTTGTAGATTTTTACACTCGATAAGAAAGACCAAAAATATGCAGATATAAAAAATTAAGATTTTTTTTAGAAATCTTTGGACAACACAGACCGAAACACACTTAAAGCAATCCTGAAGTCCCCAAAAAAATTACTCAGTCACCAAAATCCTACCTCGATCTTAACCAACCCTCAAAGCTGATTAAAAACACACACAAAAAATTAAAATCTACATGAATGCATTAATCAAAGAAACAAGTGGTCTGAGAAACTTTTTATTCAGTCATATTAAAAGCATCCTGTACATTCTACCATGACTAGTCTAACAAAGAGCAGTTTAATTATTTAGGAAAAAATTATAAAGTGTGGATAAACTTGATAATGAAAATTTGCATTTTAAATAAATGCCAAACAATTTTTTTTTCATGTATAAATTCAACTGAATTATTTTGTGAGAAGTTGAGAAAATGGTTGGAGTAGGGGTTCCAGAATTCCCGTTCCCGTAAGATTTCGGGAATCGGGAACGGGAACGGGAATGATGTCCGGGAACGGGAATATTCCCGGGAATCAACAAAGAAAAAAAAAATTAAAAGCTACACTTACATTATGTATTTTATTTAAGTTTTTAAATCAAATTTGAATTCTATTTGATTTGATTGTCAAATTGATTCTTTTGACAATAATTTCCGTTTAAAATTCAATTCTTTTTGGTTTTAGAACAATTCTTAAAGTACGATTTTAAAAACCTGATTGCATTAACGTGCTGGTTTAGCAATCTATAACTGTAAAATGCTTCCAAACCCAAGACATCCTAATTTATTGACTTCTGATAATCTACGAATATGTACATGATTAAATTACAACTTATGAACTGATTTTTTGATTACTTACATATTCAATATTAATTTCAAGCACATTTTTTTATTTTGGAAAAATTACTTTAATCCAATTTCAATTAAGTTTATTATTTTGTGGACATCATACATTTAAAAAAATATTTTTAAATACTTTTTCTCTTTGTTTTTCATAAATATATGTTTTTGATTTAAAAAACATCAAATTTGAGTTTAATATTTCAACTCTTAAATTCCTTAACGTATGTTTTCATTATTATTATAATTTTTTTCTTTAAATTGTAGTTTTTTCATGAAAGATACAACATAAAAAAAAATTTGAAAAAAATCTAATTTGAATTGTCGGTTTTTTGGTATGAAAACGGGAATTTCGGGAATATTCCCGACAGATTTTCGGGAAACGGGAACGGGAACGGGATTCCCGTTCCCGGGAATTCCCGGGAATATTCCCGATTTTAGAACCCCTAGGTTGGAGGGGATGAATAAAGAGAAGGAAAATGCATGAGCAGACTTTCCTTTTTGCTGGGAATTTTTTGAGGCTAAGTGGCTAAAGCGCATATTTTGGGTAGAAAATAATTCATGTGAAGGTTCCATCATTTTGAGCTAGCACTGTGATTACCACACATATAAGACCTATTGTTTATAGTGAAATCTGAGCTACTTATAAGCTCTGCTCACTTTTTGGGTGATAAAAAAGTGAAAATTTGTATGATTTTGTGTGCCAAATACTTCCAAAGACCATCAATTTCAAGCATCAACAACAGTTTTTATTTAAAAAATATCTGAAAAAATTTCAATCCACAAGCATCACATCCGTTCTTTTCACACCATCATCTATCCACTCAGCCATATTGTTTAGTGAGGTGGAAAAAATTAATAGAATTTTTTATCTCAGCTTGATAATCGCCATCATGAATTGAGCTTTTGTTGAATTAATCTACAACAATTTGTTTACATTTTTTTTTGTTCTCTCTCGTTGCTTGTGCATGCAATTATCTTTTATTCATGCTCTGTCACTGATGTTTTTTTTATTCTGTCTTTCTTTTATATAAACAGATTCCTGAACCCAGACCCGGCTCTTGTCATAATGATACAAGAGTATTACCCGAAGCAACTCTCTCATTTATCAAGACTCATTCGTTGATGGATGAAAACGTACCAGCATATTTTGGACTTCCAATTTTAACACGTGTCGGCACTCCGTAAGTTTATATTTGAAAAGTTTTTAATTATTTTTTAAATGATGTGGAATTTGTCAGAATTTTTTTGGGTTTTTCGATTTCTTTAAAAAGTAATTTATTATTATTATTTTTAAATTAAAGTTTAAAATTTTTTTAATTTTCAAAATTAAGTTAAAAATTTTATAAATTCAAATTTTAAATTATTTCCAAATTTTGAAGAAAAAAAATTATTTTTGTTTTAAAATAAAATTATTATTGAATAAAATTCTGACAAATTCACCTCAAAACACATAAAAACTATGTTTAAGCTTTAAAACACTCAAAACAAAGTTTTGATCAATATTTACTTTTGGTCTCATGTCTGCTGGTTGCATACAGAAATACGCAAACTAATACAAACTTTTTGATGAGTTTTGAAGATTTTATCAGGATATTTTTGGTTCATATTTTAGTTTTAAAAAAATTAAATATATGAGTTTGCAGACTTTAATTAAGGAACGTACGGCTCAGCATATTTTTTGAGTGAAAAGTTTTTGTAATGTGGATCTTGATTTTTATCAGAAAATACTAAGTTTCTCAATTTATCAGTACCTTAAAAACCTAAAATTGAGACCATAACACATTACCTGAATTTCTCGAAATCCTACTAATATTTACTTATTTTATTTCATATCCAAAAAATCACAGGTATCGCTTCACACAAATTGCTGTCGATCCACAAATAAAAACGCCAGGAGGCAGAACGTATGATGTTATATTCGTCGGTACAGGTGAGTTACTACACTCCAAAAATATTTCATATTGTAGAAGTAAAACAAAAACGAGAATCTACAAAAGGCAGCAGCAATAGCATAGACGAATGTATTTTTTTTGCTTCCACAAATGCTTTATGGTGTCTACGATGATGAAACACGTTTTTGTAGCATTAGGCAATTTTCATTTCTGCGTATTATTATGGCGAGATGAGATGGGAGCTTTGTGCTGAATGAGGGAAAATTTTCAAATATACACTGCTATCTTGTTATGTTAGGCACTGAAAATAATAAAAAAAAATTCTCGAAAGTGACAAGAAAAAAGATAAAAAATGATAATAATGGTGGGGAAATGAAAAGAAAGCAGGATGAGAACTAAATTGTGAAGTTTTAGTGCGCTTTTGAGTTTTTGTGGTCTGATTTAAATGCTTATATTTTAGTAGCTATTATTAGAGCTAGCTGAGTACTAAGGTATGATCAAAAGCTCATGACTTGCATCATATACTGAAAGATCAGATCCCAGGGAGTTTTGGGGGATAAATGATGCACCCTACCAATGATGCATGCCATAAATGAATAAAAACAATAGGTTTTTTGCAATATATCAGCTGAGCATCTTGTTCTTTCTTTTATAACTTACATAAGACGTCAATACCATCCAAACTTTAAAGGAAGATGAAACGATACCACTGAATAATCATTTTGTATGCTAAAGTTAATTTAAAGCAAGATTTATTTCTATTAGGGATGCTCAAGACCACGATATAGTTCGCTACTCTCTCAGCAAGGTTTGATACTTCTCAAAATTTACCAAAACTAATCTACAATCATTTCTATTCCTATAATTGCCTCAAAATGAATTCATTTAACCCAAATCTTCAATTTGCATCCTTCCAAAGCAGCAATGCCTCTTGATTGCCTCATCCAACTATCTCCAAACTTATGCCATATGACACACATATCTGCTTCTGCAATATTCACATAACCGAATGAACAGACAAAACTAACTTAATTCAAACTCATCCCGACAATCAGAAAAAAAAGAAAGTTCCAGATATGAAAAATTATTCTGCTCCAAAAGTTTTACAATTTTTAAATTTTTTTTTCTTTTCGTTCGAGAATGTCAAATGCCTTTAAACGTCACATGCAATTTAAAGCTAAATTCTTTTTATTTCTCTTTCTGATGTTAGGTATTATCTCCTTTTTTTTCGACGGAGGTATACAAATCGATAAAAACTTTTTTTTTCAAGATAAATACACTAAAAGTTATAAAAGTTGAAGGCGGGAAGATGTAGAAATGGAATCAATAGATATAAAATAAAAGTTGTAAGAAAACTGATAAGAACTCAAATTACGTTGAACAGCATGGTAAACTTTAAAGGAAGCGCTTTAAAGTCTTCCCATTAAGAAACTTACGTAACGTGTAATCATCATTACTATCATGCTCTTTACTGTATGCAAAAATTCAAACCATAAACGAGATTTTATGGGTTTTTTTTTTTTATAAAATTTAATTTTAATTAAAAAGGCAGGCAAAAGAATCTGGTCATGGCATTGGCTTCGGAGAATCCTCCACACTGTCTCTAAATTAAAAAGTAATTACAATAATTTTATAATGAAATAATAAAACTTGCTCCTTATCATAACGAACACCGCATAAATAAATTTTGTTGTGACTCGATTCAACGACTTGTGCAAGCTTGTTGAGAATGCAGAAGATAGTGGTAAAGTGCTTTGAGGGTTGAGTTGGTTTTTGAGTTGTTAAGTGAGCGTGGTTTTATTGGAAGTTGAGAGTTTTTAATTGTTACTTGAAAGGGGGACGTTATGGGGTGATTTATATTGATTTCTGAATTTTTTGGAACTAGCGACTCTAATCATCACATGGTTTGATGTCAATACTACTGGATTAATCCAATGGAACCTCTTGAATGCTCTTCTCCGAATAACACAAGTCGGTCAATCGAATAGAAATCAGGCACCAAGCTAGCATGGCTCTGGCATGATGCTGGCTTCGATTTAAATCTAGCGCTATGCCAGAGTCACTCTGGCTCGATAAACTGACTTGTGTCATTCGGGTTCGATACTCTTGGATTCTTCTCAATCTAGTCATGAACCCTAAACATTTTCTTTAGACAGCTAGAAATTTTTTAGATGCCCATCTTCGATTTAATGTGCCGATGTTAATCTTATTGGGTTAATCATGCCTAAGACACATCTTTCATACTATCCAAAGACTCATTCAAAGGACATCTCATTTAATAATTCGCAAATCCATCAGAAGAAGACTAGCTTTGCCATTGAATCAATAGAAAATAATTTTACAAAGCTTATTCTTCCTTCATTTTAAACTTTAACATCACATAACACAACCAAAACGTTAAATGCTCAAAAAATTGTTTCCCAAAAAACTTTAAACTTTACAAAAATTCGTCAAAAAGCTAAACTCAAAAGATGTAGCATCTATTCATCCATATCCAAGTAGTTCAAACCCGTTGACTTGAAAAAAATGTGTATATACACACATCTACATCTCTACATGCTGAACGAAGGAAGAAACTTTTCCATTTTTACCACATGTAGCATATTATGGAGCACCATATGGGATATATTTTAAATATAAACTTTGCCATATCGTAATGTTTTATAAAACATTGAACATAAATCACTTTCAAGAGGCTTTTTGATGGCTGAGCATTTTCATGCCTGCTATACACGAGGCGAGAAAGACACATTTGTGGATGTGTGTTAGATGTGGATATATTTCATACACAACTGGGGCTTTATCTCATCTCATTTAGTTTATAGAAAAAAATATTTTAGCATCATCGAATAAATGACCTAAATTGGATGGATTGTTTGTGATGCTGCTTCTGCAGGGTTTGGGACTTGATTTAAACAAATCTGAATGGGACAAGCTGGTTAATTGAATAGAAATTCATCGTCAAGCTGGTATGACTTTGGCATGGTGATGGCTTTGATTTAAATCCAGCTCCATGCCAGAGTCACACCTGCTTGGTGCCGGATTGCTGATCGATTAACCGACTTGTTCCATTTGGGAAAAAATTAATTTTAAAATCGGATAAGTTTGAAAAAAAAATGTTATTAAATTCAAAAAAAGCTATAACATAAGTTTCAAGCACCTTACATAACATCAAGGCTTGTTCTTTGATTCTCTTTCATGATTTTTATTTAAAATTCAAAAGCTCCACTGCAGCTATTCACAATTTGCAATTAATTTTCACTCACATTTCTTTCTACATCATGCTCGCACTTTTTTTAATTGGATATTATGTTCAAAGAGATCAATATTCTGTTAGAATGAAAAAAAAATGGCTAATATTATTGCATTCTTTTTGTGCTGATTGGATCGTTGTGCAATCGCAATATTTAACTATGAGTGTGTTTTTTTATTAAATGAAAAACTAGAGTAGCTGTATATGTTCAGCTTTTCAATTCTCAAAGCGTTGATTTGCAGTTTTTTAAAAGAGCGAGTGGGAATCGTGCAGGAGCCGAGAGGAATTCAGTTAGATGAGGAAAAATTTTTGCATGAATATTTTTCAATAATTTTTCAATAGATGTGGAAAACGGAATTGAGAAGTAGGAGATAGATTGTTGGAAATTGAGAAAAGGGACGCATTTGAGCTTGATGAGAAAAATTTGGAAAAAAAATTTAAATTATTCAAAAATTAATTATTTCATTTTTTAAAATTTCTGCAAAATTGAAATTTTTTGAAAATTCAAAAAAATTTCAAAGAATAAAAAAGAAAATTAATTTATTTAAATTTAAGAATTTTAGAAATTATTAAAATAATACTCAAGTCTTTTAAATCAAATCCAGCACCATGCCAGAATTACGTCAGCTTAATGCTTGATTTCTATTCAATAAACCGACTTGTGCTATTCGGGTCCCAAAATTCTAATTCCTAAAATATATCGCCAATTCAAGCCCTATCCCACCTCCAACAAATCTACAAAAAAAATCTAATAAAACAAAATTGCATTTTATATTTTTTACGTCGCATTTATTCACGTAAAAGCTCTACAGAATTTTATTGTAGAATATTTTTTTATCGCGACATGAAAGAACTGTCATTTCAGCTATACAAAATATCTAAAAAGGTTAAGGTTCATAAAGAAAAAAAATGCTTTTGCTTCCATTAAAAGAATTCTTCTACAGAATAGAAAAAAATTATGATTACAAATGGAAGATTGTGACGAACTTTTTTCATTTCACAATGCAATAAATTTTTTGCTTCTTTTTTAAAAGCTATTTTTTCATTAATCAAAATTGAATGTTTTTCTTTCATAACAAAATTGAAAAAAAAAATATATTTTACTACTTTTGTAGTGTTGTCACACACGTCTTTTTTTAAGGATAGCAGAATAGTTTGTTTTTGAAGTTTTCAAGCTTTTTTATAACTTTGTTGTGCAGAGTTGAGGTACTTAGTCTTTTGGAGGTTATAAAGTTATAGCTCATTTGAATTCTTAGGATTCAGGCAACAAAGTGTTGCATTTACCCAAAAAGCAAAAGTCGGTTGATCGAATAGAAATTTAGAGCCAAGCTGGCATGACTCTGGCTTGGGTCTGGCTTTGTATAAATCCAACATCATGTCAGAGTCACACCAGCTTGGTGCTCGGTTTAGGCTTGGATAAAGTTCAATTTTCATTTTCTTTGAAGCTCAATTAACAATTCTTATGCCCCCCCCCCCCCCCTTCTGTTTTCCATATCCAAGAAGTATACGACAAAAACCCAAGATCAAATTGTAAATTTTAAGGTTGATTCACAAGGCAATTAAAATCCATTCGCCATATTCAATTGAAGCCCTGAACAAGTTCTTGCTTACTTACTGGAACCATGATCCTAAATGAAGCAAAGCTTACACCAAATGCTTGCTACCAAACTCTGTTGCTTGTTATCCGACCATCAAATTCTGATGCTGACAGATCTTTATATCAGTTGGCTAATAGTCACATTATTTGCAACCGAGCAACTACTTAAAACCTCTCAAAATTCCACTTCTGAGTTCATCCAGTAATCTTCAATCCCCCTTTTGTCCTCACCCATTTCCCCTTGTCATTCCCTCGTCCTGTTTCAAATGGAAAATCTCAATTGATTTTTTTTTTCAATTTAAACTTTATCATCAGTGAACATCGTATAAACACATATTGTCTATACATCGTAAGTGCATTGTGTATTATCAATTGACAGCAACTTTCACAACTCAATCGATGCTATTGCATTCTATGCTGTTTCTTATGTAGAAGAAGCAAAAAGTCAACGAATTTTGTGAATGTGAAAAAAAATGAAAATTATTAAAAAAAATTCCATCTTTTTATGAAACTAAAAAGTCAATAAGAAAATTTTCCATCCGCTCATTTGACATAAAAAAGAATGAAGGATACATAGACGGAATATAAAAAAGAAAATCTAATAACATTCAATATGTTGACTTTTGATTGTCATTTTTGCTTCAAATTCCTTACTCATGTGCCATGTATAATGATTTTTTTTTATCTTGTCTCATTTCAGATCATGGAAAAGTGCTGAAAACAATAAATGCCGCATCAGCAAATGACTCAAGCAAAGTGTCATCCGTGGTTATTGAGGAAATTGATGTCCTTTCTAAACCCGAACCAATTAGAAATTTGAAAATTGTTCGAACTATGCAATATGGTAAGTACAAGTGACATGTAGAATATTATTATCTAGTGTGAAATGAGAAAAAAATATGTAAGGGATAGTGAGGATGATGTATCATTATTTTTGATGAGGTATAGACACTATGGTATTTTTTAAGGATTTATGAAAAGGCTGAAGGATTCAAGTAAAGTAATTTGCTTGAATTTTTTATATATTTAGGATTAGGGGTGTTGTCAGGAGGGACTTGTCCCACCGCTACTGTTCAAAATGTTACGATGAGGGCAGAGGGCTCGATTCCTCTGGCCACGCCACCAAAAAGAGTCCATGAATCTCAACTTAAAGTGTCTAAACCTTAAGTCTTTCCATCCTACACAAACACATCCACACACGCATTCAAACACTCCGAACAAAATTTTACCCTTAATAAAGGAGATGTCAGAAAAACGGAAATGTGGAAATGACGACTGTTCTTGAATGTTTATTCACTTTGTATACGGATGAAAAAAAAAGTTGACAAAAAGTCAATTTTCAGTTCAACAATTCTCCGTACTTATTACATTGAGATGATGTATAACATTTGAATTTAATTTATTTGTATGGAAGCATAAAAGTTAAAGAAAAAAGTTTCATTCTTATTATGTGGACCAGTCATTACATAAAATGCTTAAAAAGGGAAGTTACATAATTCGTCCCCAAGATGACGACGAAAAAAATGTATAAGAATGAATCTATTGTTGTCAAATAAAAAAGGAAAGAAGCTTTGATACAAGACCAAGGAGAAAGTTTCTTTTAAAGACTACAGAAAATAATACAATAAATTGTGTCATTAAATTTAAAATGTCGACGATGGTGGAAGAAAGCAAAGTCATTCATCGAGTTCACGTGACATTTTTAAAATTAAAGATATGAGGGACATTTTGTAGCTTCATTGTAGATATCTATAGTGTAGATCTCTCTATAACTGCCATATGTGTATACACTAATGTAAAACAAGTCGGGTTCCATGAGAATCGAACTCACAACCTCATAAGAGGCGATCTCTGACCACTCGATCAGAGATTCCTGCCACTCGGCCATTGAAGTTCTTATCTCACTTTCGGCTATCCGTCATACACGTACAACCAACTCAACGCTAGCCTTATGCTCAGTCCTATCTACTACAGATATGCTATTTGAGACATATTCTTTGGTAGAAACTTTCCCGAAAAGTACAATTCTTGCGTAACTTTGTCATGGTGCTGGATTTAATTTAAGTCTAGCATCATGCCTGAATCATACAGGATTTTTATTCGATTAACCGACTTGTGATTTTCGTGTTTTTTTTTCAAATTCTGGTTTCTTTGAAATTAAATTTCACCAAAAATAAAATCAAACTCTATTCAAAACATTATGAAACCACATCCTTCCCCTTCAATCAACCCTCCATCAACACATGCCCCCGTCAAAAAGGATCGTCATCAAATCAAATAAAAGAAAAACAAAACAATTTCAAAAAGAGAAGAAAAATCCCCTTTGTGCTTATTGTGACCATTGAGTTGGACAATATCATTTAGTTAAATGATCACAGAAATGAAATGAACCGGAAAAAGGGACATTTTCCTCATCATACAACTCAAATGACGTCACATAACAAAAAAATTTCCCTTTCACTTGCAATTCTATTGATTACGATTCTTTTCTCTTCTTAACGAACATTTCTTGCGATTGAATTGGAAATGGAAATGAAAATGTAGGAAAAGTTGAAAGTTTTTGATATCAAGCTTTACATTTTTATACTTGATGGAATCGTATGTACGAGGGTGAGCAGCTAAAGTGTCTTTTTAGAGTAAATGGAGTGGATGTGATAATATTAATGGGTTGCTGTTTTATTTGGCTGATTGTAGGTGGACTTTTTGAGGCTAGAGTAGCTTCTTTGAGTTCAGCGTTGCTTTCTTAAGTCTAGAACAATTCTGCTAGGTTTTAAAAACACAGCTAGTCTTCTGGTGGCTCTAGAGGGGCTATTTTATGTTCAGAATGACTTTTTTCAGATCTGCAGGATTGCTTAGTGTCCTATAATGACCATTTAAACAACTTTTGAAGATTCTTGGACTTCTATGACTTAACAGAGGTTTTTAGATTCCAAAAAAAAAATTTTTGAGTCAGTCAACCTTCTTTTAACTAAGTTTAATGCGTTTTAATAACAGAACCTTCAGATTTCTTTCTATTCGTAACTTTAACTCTGCTTTTTCATTTACGACTTCCATACTTCCTCTTTTTCTTCTCATTTTAAACGTATATGTAGTTGATGGCAATGAATGGATGAAGGAATGACTGCTAAATTGTATGCAACGTTTGCAGAATAAGAAGAAAAAAAAAGGACTTGGAATATATAATTTCTAATTTAATTTGAATTGCCCTCCTTTTTCTTCTTTTGCTACTTTTCCCTTTTTTTTCATTCAGCACGTATATGCTCATTTAAGTTCCTTCCTTTTCATCGTTTCCCGCTCTTTTATCGGCGTAAAAAAAGGCACTCGACATGAAAAAATAAAAAATGATAATTCAAATAAACTTTTCTTTGCTCTTCCTTCAAGCATTTTTGACGCGGTGCATAGATTATGAGAAAAAATTGTGAGGATGATGAGATGGAACAAGAAGAAACAATTTGGTTTTATGCCTCTAATTGATGACAAATTGAAGTTTTTTCTCATTTTAAAAAGAAGGACATAAAGACACTCGTGGATGCTAAATTAAGTAAAGCATTCTTGAGTTATGGAATGGAAATTTATAAAGATCAAAAAAGAGGAAATTGAGCGAAAATTAATTATTAAAGGAGTGCAGGTCTAGTAATTAGTAGTGGCAAGCAAATTGAATTAGCCTTTGGCAAGATGTCAGAACCTGCAATTTATTTTAAATTCTCAGGAAAAGTTCTTGCAAAATAAAATCTTTAATCTCAAGTTACAGTCAAAAATTCTAATTTAATTCCACTCAGAACCCAAAAAAAATATATAATCATTGCACAGACACGCACACGCACACACCCAAGAAGAGGGGCACAAGAGAATTTCCATAACAACTCGACACGTTCATCTACACTGTGTGCAGCACTTCATGAGAAAAGCACTCAAATTAAAAAAATGGAAGAAAGATTGAGAAGTGAGTAAGGCACGGAGAAAAGATAAGGAACCAAAAAATATTAATTTTCCAAGCTTTTCTTTGTCTTTGTTTTTCTCTGAAAAAATATTTTCTCATGTTCGCAATGAAAATTGTTTTTCAATTTTGTTTTTTGCTCTTGGATTCTTTCGACCGTTGTCTATTGTGCGAGGCTAAAATAATAATGAGGAAATAGAATTTTTTTAAAGGGATGGGAGTTATTGAGGGTGATTTGTGGATGTGGCGCATTTGATTTGTTTAAATTCTAGGTTTTTTACAGTTTCTTTATTTATGAGCTTATGTGGCCTAGAAGAGCTGTTGAACACATCGAATAAAGTTTAATTAAATGCCGCCTTTGGACTATTGCTTGACTGGTCATTAACTTGAGGACATAGAAGACAAAAAAAAACTTTTTTGTCCGTTACTTTCGAGGGGGGCGTTCACTAATGACGTCCGAAATTAACGGTCATTTTTCAAAAAAGAATAACGGATTTCCAGAAATTTCTATTTCTCTTCTTGATGCCCCCCTGGACGTCATAAGTGAACGGCTCCTTACGATTTTAATTGAAAATCTAAGTAAATTTTTCGGTTTCTGCATCTTCATTTAAACCAGAAGCTAAAGGATTCCAGGAATATTAAAAGAATTAATTCTACAAAATTATTAAAGCTAAAAATGATTCAAGGAAAAAGTAAATTGATCAAAAATGTGATTAAAAGCTACAGACATATTTAACAAGTTTTTGGAAACAAATTTTTTGTTAAGTGGATCATATTTTTTCAGAATTCTTCATCTCCATTAGCAATCCATTAGCTTCTCGAAGTCAAAAACTTCTAGGAAATGTTCCAATTAAATTATGAACTTAGTTTATTGTTGGCCATGCTTTGAGAGATGGCAACACTGAGATTCTTCTTTAAAACACAAAATCTACTCTTTTACCTGAATAGCTCGAGTTGGCTTATCGAATTGAAATTTGGCTTCAAGCTGGCATGGTCTAGCTTCGATTTAAATCCAGCACCACACCAGAGTCACACCGACTTGGTTTCGGATTTTTGATCGAATAATCGACTTGTGCTTTTTGCGGTAGATTCTTTTTCGAATTTTTCTGAAAACCCCCAATGCACCCTTCTTTAACCCTTAAAAAAATTCAACATCCTCAAAACAACTCAAAATCCCATCAATCTTCTTACCAATTTATATCAAATTACTGAAAGAGCCTTGACATTTTTTATCTTGAAAATATCCGACAACCTTTTTTTTTCTTCAAGAATAAAGCACAATAGGTCAAATTGATTAAATCAAGCTGAAAGAATATTTTCCTTCCTCAAAATTGCGGTTGAAAAAATTTAATTTCGTTAAGAGAAAATGAAAATGAATCTTCAATAAATTAAAATGCCAAGAATTTCCTGCTTTTGACGGCAAGAAGTTGTATGGCGTTGTTTCAATGTTTAGTGCTTTTGGCAGTGTTGTCCAAAGTGTGTGCTGTGGCACTCTGGTGTGTTGTAAAAGATTTTCTATGGTCAAAATGAGCCGTAGCTCCGAAAAGTTTAGACAACACTTGCTTATGGGGATGAATAGAGGGCCATCTGACTCAAAAGTAGGATTGCCATCAATGTAGCTTCTCTAAAACGAGTAGCAGCAAGTACTGAAAGTATAGAGACACCCTCTATATCTAGATACCCACCAATGCTTTGATAAGCATCATTTATTAACAACCCCCAAATTGTACGCCTCAAAAAACCATTTTAATGCTCCTTTCTTCCATATTTTATTGAGACTTAATATTTGTGAAGTCTCGAGATTTTCATCCACTTTTTGATTATGCTGATGGAAGCGACCTTTAAAGCTTCTCGTAATGTAAAAAGCTATCAAAAAGTTCTTCTTCTTTTTCATAATTTATATAAAA